TAGGCTCGGTTTTGGCATTGGAGGTCCCGGTAATATCCCTCTTATTTTTTGCTTTGCAAGACAGGTGAAGTTGTGTGGCTGTTTGTGTGTTTGTTGTGGCTTAGAGGTCTGATTCTGGAAGTTTGGTTGTCTGATTTGAGATATCTTCTTGTTGGATAGCCTAATGTCTGAGCCTAAGTCTATAGTTGTGTCCGATATTCTTCCAGTTAATGCAAGAATCACAGAACACAAATTAAATGGCTCAAATCATTTGGATTGGAAACGAACCATTAAAATATATCTGCGTAGTATTGACAAAGATGCCCATATGACTGCCACCCCACCCGAGGATGACAAAGCTAAGCAAACTTGGTTGCGTGATGATGCTAAATTATTTCTTCAAATACGGAACTCAATTGAATCTGAGATATTTGGTTTTGTTAGTCATTGTGAAACTGTCAAAGAGCTCTTAGACTATCTTAATTTTTTGTATTCGGGTAAGGGCGACATTATTCGAATCTATGATGTTTGTAAGGCTTTTTATAGGGCCGACATGCTTGACAAACCTCTGCAGACTTATTTTATGGAGTTCAAGAAAACATATGAGGCTCTTAATGAATTAATGCTGTTCACAACGGATATAAAGGTTCAGCAGCAACAGCGAGAACAAATGGCCATCATGAGTTTTTTGGCTGGTCTTCATCCTCGACTAGAACCAGCCAAGTCCCAGATATTGTCCAGTGAAGAGCTCAAATCCCTATCTGATGTATTCTCTAGAGTATTACGCACAGAGACCTATCAACCCCCTCAGTCGAGTAGTGTTCTTGTCAGTCAGAAGTCAAAGGGGGAGCCTGTGAAGTCGTCATATCACAATAGGGATCCTCATGGCCAGCAGTATAATCCAATCATTTGCCATTACTGTCAGAAACCGGGGCACATGAAGAAGGATTGCCGAAAGCTTCAGAATAGAAATCAGGGCAATCGGTCTGCCAATATGGTGTCTTCTGATACTCATGGTGAGAAAACGGTTGTATTTTCTGCAGATGAGTATGCTAAGTTCCTGAAGTACCAAGAATCCTCATCATCTCCCTCAACTGTAGCGGCTGCCACCTCAGGTAATCTCAACACTTGCCTCGTCTCTTCAGCTTCCAAATGGGTTATTGATTCGGGAGCCACGGATCATATGACAGGTAACTCTAGACTCCTATCTACCTTTCAATCTTCTCCTTCAACTTCCCATGTCACTCTAGCTGATGGATCCACCTCTAGGGTGCTTGGGATTGGCACTGCTAATCCGACTCCTGATCTCCCGTTATCCTCGGTCTTGAGCCTTCCCAACTTGTCTTTTAATTTGATCTCTGTTAGTCAAATCACTAATGCTCTAAATTGTTCCATAACCTTTTTTCCCACTCACTGCATGTTCCAGGATCTTACGACGAAGCAGATTATTGGTAAAGGGCATGAATCTGGTGGCCTCTATATTCTTGATTCTAGTATACCGAGAACTGTTGCCTGCTTTGGGATGGGTACTCCGTTGGAAGTCCATTGTCGTTTAGGGCACCCATCCTTACCATTGTTGAAAAAGATGTGTCCGCAATTTAGTAAGGTGTCCTCTTTAAATTGTGAGTCTTGTCAATTTGCTAAACATCATCGAGTTAGTTTAAGTCCTAGAGTCAATAAACGAGCACGTGCTCCTTTTGAGTTAGTTCATTCTGATGTTTGGGGTCCATGTCGTGTTATGTCCAAAACCGGGTTTCGGTACTTTGTTACTTTCGTTGATGACTTCTCTCGCATGACTTGGTTATATTTTATGAGAAGTCGTTCTGAATTATTTTCCCATTTTCGTGCTTTTTGTGCTGAGATACAAACACAATTTAATATACCTGTTCGTGTATTGAGAAGTGACAATGTTAAAGAGTATTTTTCTGAACCCTTTTCCTCTTATATGCTTGAACATGGAATTTTACATCAATCTTCCTGTGTTGACACCCCATCTCAAAATGGGGTTGCTGAACGCAAAAACAGGCACTTACTAGAAACTGCTCGGGCTCTCTTGTTCCAAATGTGGGTTCCAAAACATTTTTGGGCTGATGCAGTCTCTACTACTTGTTTTTTGATCAACCGTATGCCGTCTTCGGTCTTACATGGTACAACACCCTATCAGTGTCTTTTCCCTCACAAATCTGTATTTCCTATTCCACCAAAAACATTTGGATGTACTTGCTTTGTGAGAAATGTAAGGCCCCATATCACGAAATTAGATCCTAAATCTTTAAAGTGCATCTTTTTGGGATATTCTCGTGTTCAAAAGGGGTATAGGTGTTATTGTCCGTCAACGGGAAGATATCTCGTGTCTATTGATGTAACCTTCCATGAAGATGTTTCCTTCTCACCTTCTTCAAATTCAGAAAGCCATGGCGACAGTGATGATGATATTCTCATCTATACGATTACCACCGCTTCCGCTTCTATTCCACCTTCCCGACCACCAATCACTCAGGTATATTCTCGTAAACACCAGTCTATTCCAAAAGAGGTTAACCCGAATCCCGACACTACTTTGGTTCCTGACAATACGCCAGATTCATGTCCTGAGCCGGATTCTTCGTCGTCTGATCCAGCTACCTTGCCAATAGCCCTACGCAAAGGTAAAAGAACTTGTACTTATCCTGTCTCATCGTTTGTTTCTTACAACCACTTACCCCATATCTCCTGCTCTTTTATTGCTTCTCTTGACTCTATACAACTTCTTAAAACTGTCAAACAAGCACTGTCCCATTCTGGTTGGCGTAACGCTATGATTGAGGAGATGAATGCCTTGGATTTCAATGGTACGTGGAACTTGGTAGATTTACCTGTAGGGAAGAAGGCCATTGGGTGCAAATGGGTGTTCATGGTGAAGGTTAACCCTGATGGATCTGTAGCTCGGTTGAAGGCTCGTCTAGTTGCTAAGGGGTATGCACAAACTTATGGTATTGATTACTCTGACACATTTTCTCCTGTTGCAAAATTGACCTCTGTCAGATTGCTTATTTCTATGGCTGCTACATTTAATTGGCCATTACATCAACTGGACATTAAAAATGTTTTTCTACATGGTGAGCTTCAAGAAGAAGTCTACATGGAGCAACCACCTGGGTTTGTTGCTCAGGGGGAGTATGGTAAGGTTTGTCGACTTCGCAAATCTTTGTATGGCCTTAAGCAAAGCCCTCGTGCATGGTTTGGGAAATTCAGTCAAGCGATTGAGAGGTTTGGCATGATAAAAGGAAAGTCTGATCATTCTGTCTTCTATAAACGCTCTGAGAAAGGCATTATTTTATTAGTTGTCTATGTGGCTGACATTGTCATCACTGGAAGTGACACCGCTGGTATTGTATCTCTTAAGACCTTTCTTCATAGTCAATTTCAGACTAAAGATCTTGGTACATTAAAATATTTTCTAGGTGTTGAGGTAATACGGAGTAAGAAAGGTATACTTCTCTCCCAGAGAAAATATATACTTGATCTATTGACAGAAACAGGGAAACTAGGAGCTAAGCCATGCAATACTCCAATGATCCCTAATTCACAGTTGACATCAGAGGGGGAGCTATTTGATGATCCAGAAAGATATAGAAGATTGGTTGGTAAGCTAAATTATCTGACTGTAACTCGTCCTGATATTGCTTACTCAGTAAGTATTGTAAGTCAATTTATGGCGTCTCCAACTATTGATCATTGGAAAGCTGTTGAACAAATCCTGAACTACTTGAAAGGTGCTCCAGGACGTGGAATTGTATATCAAAACCATGGACATATGAACATTGAGTGCTTTGCAGATGCAGACTATGCAGGGTCTAAGGAGAATCGGAGGTCTACAACCGGATTTTGTGTCTTCTTTGGTGGAAACTTGATCTCGTGGAAGAGCAAGAAGCAAAATGTTGTCTCACGATCGAGTGCAAAGTCAGAGTATAGAGCAATGGCACAGGCAACCTGTGAAATCTTGTGGATATATCACATTCTCGATGAAATAGGGCTCAAGGCCTCTATTCCTGCAAAGCTATGGTGTGACAATCAAGCGGCTCTCCATATTGCAGCCAATCCTGTTTTCCATGAACGAACCAAGCACATTGAAGTTGATTGTCATTTCATTCGGGAAAAGATACAACGAGGCTTAATTTCTACTGGATTTGTGAAGACAGGAGAACAGCTAGGAGATCTTTTTACAAAAGCTATGAATGGGCCTCGAATAGATTACTTATGTAACAAGTTGGGCATTATCAATATCTATGCTCCAACTTGAGGGGGAGTGTTAGACATTATATGGTAGAAGAATATTTGATATGATCTCAGTATAATATCTTAGGATAGTGTGTATAATATCTTAGGGATATTATTGATCCTTACCATAGTTAGTGTGCATAGCCTAGTATAAATATGTGTATCCTCTTGACTCAATTGTATGGAATACAGAGATTAGAACAGAATTAAAATCTCCAACCCCTCATATGTATTTCTAAAAAAAGTGCATGTAAATGTGCACATTATGGTAATTGAGGTGCTAATGCAGTTATACGTTGTAACCACACTTTCAAACTTACTTAAGCAATTAAAAGTCGTAAGAAAAAAAGAACCTCTTTTTCTAGTAAGATTATTAAACAAGCTGCAAATGTATATGAAATTTGCAACAGAATGTCTCCCATTATCTCACTCCATTCTTTATTGTCATGGTTGAGTAGTTGTTGTGTATGTGTATGAGTCCTCCAACCAATTATAGACAAGCCACATAAATTTTTTGGAGGCAAGGTGGCAAAAGTGGCGAGATGCCTGGATCCAAGAAAAGTAAAGAAATGATTGTCAGCACTCAGCACCCACAAAAACTGCAGATGATGAGGATAGAAATTTTTTTTAAGCCAAAGGCGTGGTGAGTCTAACCGGACTTGCTGCAGGAAAGCACATGGTTTATCTGAGCCATTCCATTACACGTCTCATTTCCCATCAAAATTGCTTGTTCTATGGAAGTCACAAGAGATTGTAAAATCAATGTTTGCAATGCAGTGCTGTGGTGGGATTTCAGTATAGATCCCAAATATACGCGTGCACAGAATATAGGAAAATTTCCTTCTCTTCACCCATACAAATTAAGATTATGGATTGGGTATACCTCCATATATCTACAGAAACAAAATTGTCAAGATTATGTTCCCCTTATGTTATGAATGTGGCGAAGTTGCTGTGGGGCATCAACCTTCTGATGCCAGGCAGGCAGGAGGAAACATAATCTTCACCAGCTCAATATTGATACACCTACGAATCAGTCTGTTAGTATGAGGATAAAGAAATAGGAAAATGTGTTATGAGTTTTGTTGGTAAAACTAAAATACAGAACCCATTTCCATCCTGCAACCACAAGGTGATCATATTCAAATTACAACCTGGCTAATGTCAGTTGTGTCAGCAATGTCTCCTTCTATATGGCCTATACAGAATAAAGAATTATAAATGATCAGAGTCTGTTGGGAAAATAATTAACAGGTTGGCTAAGTTCATGGAATGGCACATTGCATCACATGCTGATCACATTGCTATACTTATCTCCATACCTTCCAATCTGCCAATATATAACCAAGCCTAGAGCTTATTCTAGCCAGCACAAGCTTGAGTTTACTTTCCTGTAACAAAGAGAGGAAATACAACAATGGCAAAACCCAACCACATCCGATCTATTAGCTTTCCCAGCAGATCACATACAAGCATCCAGAAAGTGGAAGAAGAGCTGACAAAGCTCAAAACATTACAAGTATCAGCCTCTCCAGAAGCTGCTACAATCAGCAATGGTCTTCTTGGATTAGAACAGCTTTACAAGTGCATGGATGATCTTCTTAACTTGCCACAAACCCTTCAAGCTCTAACTCAATATCAAAACAAGAAGTGGGTTGATGGCTTATTGGAGAGATCAGTAAAGCTTCTTGATATTTGTGGTCTAGCAAGAGACTGCATCTCTCAGTTGAAAGAACATTTGAGAGATATCCAATCCTATCTAAGGAGAAGAAAGGGAGATTCAAGTACTGAAGCCAGCATCACTAAATACACTTCATTCGTAAAGAAGATGAACAAGGATGCCAAAAAGTCACTTGCAGCAATAAAGAAAATCGATGGTGAGATTGAAGGATCCACACCCATAGATGTGCATCGTGACATCTCAGCAGTGATCAAAACACTAGGAGAAGCAAGTGCAGTGAGCACTTCTATTTTCCAGTCTGTCCTGCTTTTCTTGTCGGTGCCAATTTTGAAGGCCAAGCCATCTAGGTGGTCACTGGTTTCAAAACTGGTACAGAATGGAAGAGTAGCATGTGAATACCAACACGACAACACTTGCAACCTAGAGACTTTGGAAACTCAACTGGAGGATATTGAAAACTTAGCGGAAAGCATTTTTAGGTGCTTGATTAAATTAAGGAGCTCTCTCCTAAACATCATCTCGTGTTAAGTAATTGTATAGCCATACTTGTATATAATCAATTTTGTAGTTACTCAAGAGAAATACAATACAAAAGTCAAAGTTTATACTCCAACTTGCATCTATCTCTCCTCTTATGTGTATCAAGGCCTACCTAGTTCTTGCAAAAGATCTGTTAACAGTAGACATTTGCATAAATATAATCAAAGAGGGCATCAATATTGATTGGGTCATTCATGCAATTCGATACAAATCATATCTTCACATCATGCTCTAACCAGCTTATCCATATTAGTAATCAAGATCCATTCTGTATAGCATGATTTCATGTTCTGGGTGATCATACAAGGAATGATAATATTTACTTTTTGGCTTTATTCTCTTATGAGATTTTTTCCAAACTTTTGAAGCATAAATTTTCCTAGGTTTTTTTCTTATATATTTGTCTTGCCCCGGCAAAGTGTTAATTACTCCCTCTGACAAAAAGGTAAAATTAAAAGCCAGAAGCAATGCAAATTAACTATGATGAGTCACAAGACTATGACCATGCTCTGCTCTTTTCATGACATTGGATCCCCTAAATGTCAATCTGAAAAGATATACTTCCCCCGAATTGTTTCAAGAACATGTATTTGCTACAAAAATGCTGAGTATGGAAAGAAATTAAGTTTTCATGGGAAGTAATTTTGCACACTTGTGAATGAATGAATATGTAAAAAAACCATGGAATTTCAGGTATGAAATTATTTCAATAAGTAAATACTGTGGTGAAAAGCCGAAGGTGCAGTAGTATTGGGTGTCATTCAAACTCGATATTTTATCTTCCTGAGCTAATTTTCTTGAACATGTTATGGTTTTATTGTCATTGATAAAGTAAAGGTGCTAAGTGGTAATAATCTTTTAATGGTGGCACGAGGAAATATAATCTTCACCAACTCAATATCGATAAACACCTACCAATCATTTCATAATGGTAAGAATAAGAGAATCTAGAAATCTGTAATAAGAGTCTGATAACCAAATCATGTCTCTTTCTATAGCCAATAATGAATGATGTAATAGGGAACATGCCAGTAAGGCATCCATAATGTGCAGATGTTAATTTATTCCTGATCCTCGTGCATCTATAATTCACTCAATATTTTATATTCTATCTTCATTTCAATTTTTTAACGCATTCCCCATTTTCTTGTAGATCAATGAGGCTCGTGCAAAGAGAAACCGAATAAGCAATCGTGTTTCAACTAATTAAATAGGAGTGGATCAAATTGTATTGACCTTAATAATTGAAGAGAAATGTGGCACAGTGCCTTGAGGCAGACAGGAAGCAACTAACCTTTTATTAATGCAGTTGAGGAGAGATTCCAGATCATTCAATTCTAAGCCTGTGAGGAATAAAGAAATGGCTATGATTAGAGTCTTGTTGGCAAAATAATTAGCAGGCTTACGGCTTACCAAGTCCCACATTGCACCACACACTCATCACATTTTTAATAGGTAAGTGGATATCTTGTCTCCTTACTTTCTTATCTGCTGATGTATATAACCAAGCCAAGTGCTTTTTCTAGCCATGCAAGATTGAGTTTACTTTCCTGTTAAGACAAGAGAAGAATACATAGAATGGCAAAACTGCATCCAGTCTACTAGTTTTCCCAGGAGATCACATCCAAGCCAGAAATTGGAAGAAGAGCTGAACGAGCTTCTTGAAAGAACATCCAAGGCTACAATTAGAGTCTTGCAGGCAAATCATTCAATTCTAAGCCTGTGAGGAATAAAGAAATGGCTACAATTAGAGTCTAGCAGGCAAAATAAATAGCAGGCTTACCAAGTCCCACATTGCACCACACACTCATCACATTTTTAATAGGCTAGTGGAAATCTTGTCTCCTTACTTTCTTATCTGCCGATATATATGACCAAGCCAAGTGCTTTTTCTAGCCAAGCAAGGTTGACTTTACTTTCCTGTTAAGACAAGAGAAGAATACAAAGAATGGCAAAACCATATCCAGTCTAGTAGTTTTCGCAGGAGACCACATCCAAGCCAGAAATTGGAAGAAGAGCTGAACGAGCTCAAAATATTATAAGTATCAACCAGTCCAGAAGAAGCTACAATCTGCAGTGGTGTGCTTGGATTAGAACAGCTTTATGAGCACATGGATGATCTTCTTAAATTGCCACACACCCTTCATTCTCTATCCCAATATCAAAATAAGCAATGGGCTGAAGACTTAATGGAGAATCAGTGAGGATTCTTGACGTTTGTGGTCTAGCAAGAGATGATGTTTCTCAGATAAAGGAAAAGTTAAGAAATCTTCATTCCTTATTGAGGAGGATAAAGGAAGATTCAACTATTGAATACAGCATCAATAGATACACCTCGTTTAGGAAGAATATGAACAAGAAGAAAAAATATGCAATCTAGAGATTTTGGAAGCTAAACTTTAGGCCATTGAGAAGAAACTGGAAAGCATTTTTAGATACTTGGTTAAATCAAGGAGTTCTCTCCTACACATGGTCTCATTCTAATTAGAAATTGCATAGTTTTATATACTTGTAAATAATCACTTATGTAATTACTCAAGAAAAATACAGTACAGAAATTAAAAATTACATTCCATTATTCATCTATCTGACTATCTTCCTCTCTACAAAGTGTCAAGTGTACCCGGTTACTACAAATGAAGTTAACAATCTGGGAGATTCAAGCTAATAGCTCAAACAGGGGTTTTCCAAACAACAAAAACAGAGTCCCCTTATCTATCTAATAGTATAGCATGGTTCATGTTTCCAGGTAACTGTACTAAGTTTAGGAACTTGGACATTTTGTGTAGGCAAATACTGTGTTTAAGTGGAACCTAGCTACATGCATTATGTCAATAATGTTTATATTTTAATGCAGGGTATACTATATTTCATTATTAATACACTAATGCAATATTAATGAACATTAATTTATAATCATATAACTATCAGTGTATTGCAATTTGAATATTTTTAACAAAGCACATGTCAAAGAGTGCATGTAAATGTGTACATTATGGTAATTGGGGTGTTAATGCAGTTATAGGTTGTAACTACACTTTCGAACTTACATAGGCAATTAGTCAAACAGGTAATGCTTATCACATTGATCTGAGCCATTCCATTACACGTCACGTCTCCCATCAAAATTGCTTGTTCTATGGCAGTCAGAATAGATTATTAAAATAAATTTTTGCAATCCAGAATTGTAGTGGGATTTCAGTATAAATCCCAAATATAAGCGTGCACAGAATATAGGAGAATTTCCTTCCCTTCACCCATGCAAATTAAAATTATGGATTGGCTATTACTCCATATATCTACAGAAACATTATTGTCAAGATTATGTTTTATGCTCCCCTTCCGATGCCTGGCAGGGAGGAAGAAACATAATCTTCACCAGCTCAATACTGATACACCTGCTAATCATTCTGTTAATATGAGGATTAAAGAAATAGGAAACTTTATTATGAGTTTAGTTGGTGAAAATAAATTGCAGAAACCATTCCAAAGAATCAAAGAAATCTGCATGCTGCAACCACATGGTGATCATATTCTTATTACAAACAGTGTAATGTTCGTCATGTCAGCAATGTCTCCTACTAAATAGCCTATACAGAATAAAGAATTATAAATGATCAGAGTTTGTTGGCAAAATAAACAACAGGTTGGCTAAGTTCAAGGAATGGCACATTACTATTCTTATCACCATACCTTCCAATCTGCCAATATATAACCAAGCCTAGGGCTTATTCTAGCCAGCACAAGCTTGAGTTTACTTTCCTGTTACAAAGATAGAAAATACAACAATGGCAAAATCCAACCACATCAGATCTATTAGCTTTCCCAGCAGATCACATCCAAGCATTCAGAAAGTGGAAGAAGAGCTGAACAAGCTCAAAACATTACAGGCATCAGCCATTCCGGAAGCAGCCACAATCTGCAGTGGTCTGCTTGGATTAGAACAGCTTTACAAGTGCATGGATGATCTTCTTAACTTGCCACAAACCCTTCAAGCCCTCTCCCAAAATCAAAATAAGAAATGGGTTGATGGCTTATTGGAGAAATCTGTGAGGCTTCTTGATATTTGTGGTCTAGCAAGAGACTGCATCTCTCAGTTGAAAGAACACTTGAGAGATCTCCAATCCTCCCAAAGGAGAAGAAAGGGAGATTCAAGTTCTGAAGCCAGCATCACCAAATACTCTTCATTCGTAAAGAAGATGAACAAGGACGCAAAAAAGTCAATTGCTGCTATAAAGAAAATGGATGATGAGATTGATGGATCAACACCCTTAGTTGTGCATCATGATGTCTCAGCAGTGATAAGAGCATTAAGAGAAGCAAATGCAGTGAGCACTTCTATTTTCCAGTCTGTCCTACTTTTCTTGTCTGTGCCAGTTTCGAAGCCTAAGCCATCTAGGTGGTCACTGGTATCAAAATTGGTACAAAATGGAAGAGTAGCTTGCGAATACAACGCTTGCAATCTGGAGACTTTGGAAGCTGAACTTGAGGATATTGAGAACACAATGCAAAGCATTTTTAGGTGCTTGATTAAATCAAGGAGCTCTCTCTTAAACATCATCTCTTGCTAAGTAATTGTATAGCTATACTTGTATATAATCAATTTTGTAGTCAGTCAAGAGAAATACAATACAAAAGTAAAAGTTTATACTCCAACTTGCTTCTCTCTCCTCTCATGTTTATCAAGCCCTCCCGAGTTCTTGCAAAAAGATTTGCCAACAATATACATTTGCATAAATATAATCTAAGAGGCCATCAATATAATGAGCCATTCATGCAGTTTGGTACATATCATATCTTCGCATCATGCTTTAAGCATCTGTATTAGCAATCAGATCTATTCAATATAGCATGATTCATGTTCCAGGTGATCATACAGAGGAACTATGATATTTTCTTAAGAAATTCACAGGTTTTCTATGACAATTACTATTTTACATTGTAAGTAAAACAAAATTGTCTTGGTTATGTTAAGGATGGGTCAAAGTTGCTTTTAGTCATCAACCTTCTGAATTCTGATGCCTGGCAGGCAGGAGGAAACAGATCTTTGCCAACTCAATGTTGATATAATGATAGCAATACAGCAAACTCCTACTAATCATTCTGTTACTCTGAGGATTAAAGAAATAGGAAAATGTAATATGAATCTTGTTGGTAAAACTAAAATGCAGAACCCATTTGCAAAAATTAAAGAAATTTGCATGCTGAAACCACAGGGTGATCAGATTCTTACAACCAGGCTAATGTCAGCCATGTCTCCTATAGCCAATAGTGCATAATTTAGTAGGGAAAACAGCCAACAATCCATGCATGTACTACCATTAATTAATCACAACCTACTTGTATCGATTAATGATTAAGAGGTTTTATATTCCATCTTCATCTTGAAGGGTTTTAATACGTTCTCTGTTTTCTTGCTGACGCATAAGGTACTTGCAGCTGAAACAGAAGGAATAAGCCATATGTTTCTCAACTAATGAGAAAAAATGGAATCTGATCCGCAGTGTATGCATCTTGAAATAATTTTAAAAAGATGTAGAAGACAGTAATAGCACAATGGTTGGGAGGCAGGAGGAAGCAAACCTTTTTGTTAATGCAGTCAAAGGGAGATCAGCAACAATTGATCCAAGCCTGTGAGGAATAAAAAATTGTAAATGACTGGGGTTTGTTGGCAAAATGAATAACAGGTTGGCTAAGTACAAGGAATGGGACATTGCATCATATGCAGATCACATTGCTATTCTAATCTCCATACCTTCCTATCTGCCAATATATAACCAAGCCTAGGGCTTATTCTAGCCAACACAAGCTTGAGTTTACTTTCCTGTTACAAAGAGAGAAAATACAACAATGGCTAAATCCAACCACATCCGATCTATTAGCTTTCCCAGCAGATCACATCCAAGCATTCAAAAAGTGGAAGAAGAGCTGACCAAGCTCAAAACATTACAAATATCAGCTACTCCAGAAGCAGCTACAATTAGCAGTGGCCTTCTTGGATTAGAACAGCTTTACAAGTGCATGGATGATCTTCTTAACTTGCCACAAACCCTCCAAGCCCTCTCCCAAAATCAAAACAAGAAGTGGGTTGATGGCTTGTTGGAGAAATCGGTGAGGCTTCTGGACATTTGTAGTCTAGCAAGAGATAGTGTCTCTCAGTTGAAGGAACAATTGAGAGATCTGCAATCCTCCCTGAGGAGAAGAAAGGGAGATTCAAGTACTGAAGCCAGTATCACCAGATACACTTCATTCTTAAAGAAGTTGAAAAAGGATGCAAAAAAGTCAATTGCAGCTCTAAAGAAAATCAATGTTGAGATTGATGGATCAACACCCTTAGATGTGCATCATGATATCTCAGCAGTGATCAGAGCACTAAGAGAAGCAAGTGAAGTGAGCACTTCGATTTTCCAGTCTGTCCTGCTTTTCTTCTCCGTGCCAGTTTTGAAGCCAAAGCCATCTAGGTGGTCAGTGGTTTCAAAATTGGTACAAAATGGAAGAGTAGCGTGTGAATACCAATACGACAACACTTGCAATCTGGAGACATTGGAAGCTCAACTTGAGGATATTGAAAACACAATGGAAAGCATTTTTAGGTGCTTGATTAAATTAAGGAGCTCTATCCTAAACATCATCTCTTGCTAAGTAATTGTATAGCCATACTTGTATATAATCAATTTTGTAGTTACTCAAAAGAAATACAATACAAAAGCAAAAGTTTATACTCCAACTTTCATCTATCTATCCTATTATGTGTCTCAAGGCCTCTCCAGTTCTTGCAAACGATCCGTTAACAGTATACATTTGCATAAATATAATCAAAGAGGGCATCAAGATATTGAGACAATTAAAGAGGGCAATAAGATATTGAGGCATTCATGCACTTCGATACAAATCATATCTTCACATCATGGTTAAACAAGCTTATGTATATTAGTAATCTGATCCATTCAGTATAGCATGATTCACAATTTCATATTCTGGGTGATCATATAATGGAACTATAATATTTACTTTATAGCTTTATTCTCTTATGCGGTTTCCAAACATCAGAAGCATAAATTTTCCTAGGTTTATTTCAGATATTATTCAGCTTGCCTCTGCAGAGTGTTAATCAATCCGTCTGAGTCTCTGACCAAAAGGTAAAATTACAAGCAGGTTAACTAGGATGGAAATCACAAGACTCATCACCACCCTCTGCTCTTTTCAGGACCTTGGACCCCCCAAATGTCAATCTGAAAAGATATACTCTCCCTCAGTTTTTTGATGAACTTGTATGTGCTACAATAAAAGAAAAGTACGAAAGGAAATTCCTAAGTTTTCATGAGAATTACTTTTCTACACATGTGAGTGAATGAATATGTAAAAACCATGGAGTTCATTCAATAAGTAAATGCTGTGGTGAAAAGCAGAAGATGCAGTAGTATTGGGTGTCCTGATACGTTCACTGGAAAATACTACCAAAGGCGCAGGAGAAGAGCTGAAAAATAGACTAATTCTTTTTAAGTTTTCCTATTCTTATGCTTCGTTTTTATTTCCCTATTTTCATGTTATATTACCGTTGCCTCTTCCTTCTATTTAAGGAGGATGCATGCAAGCTTATAGATCATCAGATTATTGTTTTTGGCTAATGACATTGGGGAGAAGAAGAACTCCAGAATTCTTCAAAGATTTCCTTTACAACTTAACGTTTTCCTTCTTTTTTCTGTTTCTACTCATTGTTACAATCATAGGTAGAGCTACATCATCTTTGCCTCCTCCGCCACGCCCTTCCAGCCCGGTACGTCGGCCAGTGACGTGATCCCAGTCCTCCCTGCCTGTACCACATTCAAACTTGATATATCTTTCTGAGCTAATTTTCTTGAACATGTTATGGTATTATTGTGATTGATAAATTAAAGGTGCCAAGTGGTAATAATTGTTGAATTTGGAAGATGGAATGGCCTGGCGGGTGGAGAATAATACCACCCGCCAGTTAGGCGGAAGCAATATGAAGAATCAAGACTAGGAAATGAATATAAAACTGAAATTATATTAGTATTCTCTCTGTTTCTAATACAGAAACACAGTACATATATATACACAAATACATAACTGTAAGTAACTACCCATAACTACCCATAACTGACACCTATTCATAAATAGACACAACCCTATAGATAAACCTAACTCTTTAGTTTTCAACACTCCCCCTCAAGCTGGAACATCTAGAAGTTCCAAGCTTGGATTAAAACATACACTCTACAATACAAATGAAGATTAAAAGCAGCTAGAGAATAACAGTGTTGGATGGCTTCGGAGGAACAATGCTATAAACAACCCTTGGGAATGAAGGCACCAGGGACGAAGCTTGTCACAAACTGACACGAACACCCTCACAGCAACATAAGCACTCTAGGATTTGCCAACAACAATCTTCATCACGAACGACAGAGCAAACCAATCTGAGCAGCAAATGGGAGGTAGTAGAGCCCACATGATTGTTGTATGAATACCAAGAAAACCACATGATTGTTGTTTATACCTCTTATAGGATAAGTGAATAACAAAAGAAGCTTCTGGAAATAAACAAGGTGCCAAACATGAAAACCCTAGGGACTAAGTGGTATACCGAATATAAAGAAACAAATACGGTTATACCAAAAACACCCCGGAAAGAGGTTTGGCAACCAACCCAAAAAGCTTTCAAACTTCACCAAAAGGTCCAAGGGCAAAACAACAATCTGGAATTTTCACCGGAGAATACATCACAAGGAAAAATACAATTTTGATGTTTGAAATACCCTAGGAAAGTAGGCTCTGATACCATGTTGAATTTGGAAGATGGAATGGCCTGGCGGGTGGAGAATAATACCACCCGCCAGTTAGGCGGAAGCAATATGAAGAATCAAGACTAGGAAATGAATATAAAACTGAAATTATATTGGTATTCTCTCTGTTTCTAATACAGAAACACAGTACATATATATACACAAATACATAACTGTAAGTAACTACCCATAACTACCCATAACTGACACCTATTCACAAATAGACACAACCCTATAGATAAACCTAACTCTTTAGTTTTCAACAATAATCTTCTAACACTGGGGGGTGGAAACATAATCTTCACCAACTCAATATCGATAAACACCTACGAATCATTTAATTCTAGAAATGTGAGGATAAGAGAAATCAAGAAATGTGTAATAAGAGTGATAACCAAGTCATGTCTCTATAGACAATAATGAATGATGTAATAGGGAACATGGCAGTAAGGCATCTATAATGTGCAGAGATTATTTTATTCCTGATCCTCGTGCATCTATAATTCATTCAATATTTTATATTCTATATTCATTTCAATTTTGAATAGCTTTTACTATCAATTTAATGCATTCTCCGTTTTCTTGTAAATACATGAGGTTTGAACAAAGAGACAGACTGAATAATCCATGCATGTTTCAACTAGTTAAATAGAAAGTGGATCAAATCCACATTGTATTGACCTTAATAATTGCAGAGAAATGTGGCACAGTGCCTTGAGGCAGACAGGAAGCAACTAACCTTTTATTAATGCAGTTGAGGAGAGATTCCAAATCATTCAATTCTAAGCCTGTGAAGAATAAAGTAATTGCTACGATTAGATTCTTGTTGGCAAAATAAATAGCAGGCTTACCAAGTCCCACATTGCACCACACACAGATCACATTTTTAATAGGCTAGTGGAAACCTTGTCTCAAGAGAAATACAATACAAAAGTGAAAGTTTATACTCCAACTTGCATCCATCTCTCCTCTTATATGTATTAGGGCATCCTAGTTCATGCAAAAGATCTGTTAACAGTAGACATTTGCATGAATATAATCAAAGAGGGCATCAATATAGTGAGCCATTCGTGCAATTCGATACAAATCATATCTTGACATCGTGCTCTAACCAGCTTATCTGTATTAGTAATCAGATCCTTTCAGTATAGCATGATTTCATATACTGGGTGATCATACAATGAAACAATGATATTTACTTTTCAGCTTTATTTTCTTATGATTTTTTTCCAACCTTCAGAAACATAAATTTCCCTAGGCTTATTTCTTATATATTCGTCTTGACCCTGCAAACTTTTAATTACACCGTCTGACAAAAAGGTATAATTAAAAGTCAGAGGTAATCCATATTAGCTATGATGGGTCACAAGACTCGTCACCACCCTCTGCTCTTTTAATGACATTGGATGCCCAAATGTCAATCTGAAAAGATATATTTTCCCATATTTGTTTCAAGAACTTGCATTTGCTACAAAAAAAACAGCTGAGTATGGAAGGAAGTTCCTAAGTTTTCATGAGAATTAATTCTGCACACTTGTGAGTTAATGAATATGTGAAAACCAAAGAATTTCGGGTATGAAGTTAATTCAATAAGTAAATGTTGTGGTGAAAAGCCGAAGATGCAGTAGTATTGGGTGTCATTCAAGCTTGATATATCTTCCTGAGCTAATTTTCTTGAATGTGTAATGGTTTTATTGTCATTGATAAAGTAAAGGTGCTAAGTGGTAATAATCTTCTAACGCTGGCAGGTGGAAACATAATCTTCACCAACTCAATATTGATAAACACCTACCAATCATTTTGTAATGGTGAGGATAAGAGAAATATAGAAATGTGTAATAGGAGTCTGATAACCAAGTCAAGTCTCTTTCTATAGTCAATAATGAATGATGTAATACGGAAAATGCCAGTAAGGCCTTTATAATGAGCAGAGGTTAATTTATTCCTGATCCTCGTGCATCTATAATTCATTCAATATTTTATATTCTATCTTCATTTCAATCTTGAACAGATTATACTATCAATTTTTTAACGCATTCCCCATTTTCTTGTAGATCAATGAGGTTCGTGCAAAGAGACAGACCGAATAAGCCATCATGTTTCAACTAATTAAATAGGAGTGGATCAAATTGTATTGACCTTAATAATTGAAGAGAAATGTGGCACAGTGCCTTGAGGCAGACAGGAAGCAACTAACCTTTTATTAATGCAGTTGAGGAGAGATTCCAGATCATTCAATTCTAAGCCTGTGAGGAATAAAGAAATGGCTATGATTAGAGTCTTGTTGGCAAAATAAATAGCAGGCTTACCAAGTCCCACATTGCCCCACACACTCATCACATTTTTAATAGGCAAGTGGATATCTTGTCTCCTTACTTTCTTATC